CTCGTTTATCTTAATCCATGTTTATCCTGAGTGGAGGCTGATGACCTTCTAACCTAACCTCGATGGTGATACAATATGAGGTATGCTCCAAATCGTTGACTATTATTACACATGACAAGGACTACCACGTCACGAATGTTGTGATGGAGACTGTCTACTGCTGTGCGTAGGGATCCCTACTAAGATATGCACGCGTCCACCGTGCTTTGGACAGCTCCACCATGACTATTGTCATTGTACACATGGTTTTTGACGTTGACTTAGTAGACTGACGTTACTAGTTAACATGCTTGCTAGTAGAGACATGACATGGAAGAGAGACATGAAGAAATGAGACCGAAAAATGTGACAGCCCCAATTCAATCCAATCGAGACTTGATTTTAATACTGTCATTGTCCCTTGGAGTTCAATACCTCTACAGTTAGTCTACCCCACAGTCACACCCCCTGGACCGTGCACTATAACATCCAGCCCAGCCTCTACCTAACCAACCTATCGTGATCACTGCTTCTGAACCTGGGCCCCTACTTAACGACAAAAGGTAAACGGTCCCACCCTCCTGGACGTTTGACCCCCAGCTTCCGCTTCCGCTTCCACGACTCAATCCTTTTCCACCCCGTTGACTCTTCAAAACCCAGGTCCGGTTCTCCTTCTCGCATCCCTCCTCCGCGGATAACAACGACCGTTCAATTCCCAACTACCCGAGTAGGCGAGCGATCATTCGTCCTTGTAGTCTACCCTTCAGCCTCTGCGACGGTTCCAAACTCTCCATTTTCCGCCAACAACTCCTTCGCCCCAGTCGGGGCGCAGACTGCCCGTCCCCAGCTCCAGTGCGGGGAGCCACTGACAACATACGTACCCGTTACTTTTCTCCATAAACTCCCCGGACGACTTCGGGTCACCTCAATTCAACGCTCCTGCGCTGCAGCAGCAACGTTTTGAGCAGCACAGCAGCTGTACTTATTAAATCATCTGTTTTACCCAGTTGGACTACCTTCGCAACATATCGTACCAGACGTTCCGCACTGCTACCATCACCACGGTCCGATAGATTTGTTTCCCATCGCCAAATTCTCGGCCTCGGAAGCGTCCGCGTCGCAACTCTGTATCTGTCTGGCAGAGTCATGTCCGGTCGTGCCGTTTTGAAACCTCAACATGCCCCGTCATCCTTCGATTCCGCCCCCCAACTCTATCGCGACGTTCCTGGATTGCACCCTACACCTTCTCCCTCTCACGGCGCCTTGATGGATACCTCACACTTCGACGATTTTTCCTTTGCGTACCAAGGTCTTCCCGACCAGTCTTCTCTCGTTTCTCTTGCCGACCACGCACACGCATCTCAGTCTCCCACTCCGTTTCCTCAGCACCAAGCCATGTCTGGCCTTCCACACGCTGGCCTACCGTTCGGCGCTCTGCCTCCCGGTAACCGGAGCCAGAGCATCGAAGGTTCTGAAACTGGCCAAGGTCGGATCTCTCCTGCATCAAACGCTCTAGAAGACTCAAACGCCGATGAATTTGGCCTGGGTTCCCGTAGTCGTGCAGATGGGACAGATCTGGGCGGTAAGCATAAGGAAGATAAAGCCGACACCACACCTGCATGGAGTGAACTTAAGACCAAGGCCGGTAAAGAAAGAAAACGCCTCCCGCTCGCTTGCATTGCATGCCGCCGAAAAAAGATCCGGTGTTCGGGCGAGAAGCCTGCTTGTAAGCACTGTTTACGCTCACGCATCCCATGCGTTTACAAGGTTACGACCCGAAAGGCTGCACCTCGAACAGACTACATGGCCATGCTTGACAAGCGATTGAAGCGTATGGAAGAACGCATTATTAAGGTCATACCCAAATCGGATCAAGAGGTCGCATCATCCGTCACTCGTGCCGTGGTCAAGCCAGCCATACCAGGAACTGTGCCTTCAAACAAGTCAACTAAAAAGCGTGGTGCTGAGGAAGCTTTCGGGCCTGATCTGGAGGCGTGGGCCAAGGCGCCTTCGAAGCCCAAGATTGACGGCGACGATAGGCCGAGTAGCTTACAAGTACAGGAAACTGAAGAGAATAAACTGCAACATGAGGGCACTGACGCACTCCCATCCAAAGAGATACAGGAGCATCTCGCGGAGGTTTTCTTCGACAATGTCTATGGCCAATCTTACCATCTTTTGCACAAACCAAGCTACATGCGAAAGCTCAAGTAAGTTTTTATCAAGTCATCATCTAATGTATCCGTCTAACTTTTCACAGAAATGGGACCTTACCCCCAGTTCTAATCCTTACAGTGTGTGCTGTTGCAGCTCGTTTTACTTCGAATCCTCTAGAGAGTTCACCTGGGCCCGAGTTCTTACGCGGCGAAGAGTGGGCATCCCATGCTCGTGAGATTTGCACGAGACGATATGAGTGGCCAAACCTCACCATCTTGACATGTCTACTCATTCTGGGCTTGCACGAATTTGGAACATGTCAAGGCGGTCGCAGCTGGGCTCTGGGTGGACAAGCCATTCGAATGGCGTTCGCTCTTCAGTTACACAAGGATTTAGAGTATGATCCTTCGGGCCGCAATGGTACCAAAAAGCAGCTTAGCTTCATCGACCGAGAGATACGACGCCGAATAATGTGGGCTTGCTTCCTCATGGACCGCTTCAATTCTTCCGGGACAGATCGACCCATGTTCATGCGGGAAGATACCATACAGATTCCACTGCCAGTCAAAGAGAAATACTTCCAGTTCGACATGCCTGCGCCAACAGAGATGTTGGATGGCCAGATACCTCACCCAGCGTCTCCTAACGATGGCCAACTTGCCGATGCACGAGAGAACATGGGCGTGGCGGCTTATCTGGTTCGGGCCATTGCCTTGTGGGGACGAATCATCACCTACTTGAGCCAAGGAGGAAAGGAACTAGACCCCAACCCGATGTGGGAAGATGAGTCTCAGTACATCAAGCATCTCAATGATGTTGTCAACCTTGAGGCTAGTCTGCCCTTATCACTTCGATACTCTGTCGAGAATCTGGAAGTACACAAGACGGAGAACACGGCAGGTCAATTTCTCTTCATGCATATCTGCCTACAGCACAACATCCTCTTCGTAAGCCGGGCCGCCATGTCCGCACGAAAGCAACAGGGCGTACATAACGACTTTTTCTCCGAAGCGAGTAAGAGGACATTCAATGCGGCTAATCGTATATCGGAGCTCCTTCGAGAGGCTGAGCAACCGCGGTGTTTTGTATCTGCCCCGTTTGCTGGGTACTGTGCCTTTTCCTCGACGACAGTTCACATTCTGGGTATAATCTCTCGCAATCCTTCTATGAAGCCAACAGCTGAGGCCAACTTGACTACCAATGTCAAATATCTTCACAAGATGAAGAAGTATTGGGGCATGTTTCACTGGATGGTGGAAAATGTTCGCACGCAATATCGGAATGCTCTGGATGCCGTGAGAGCTGGCGAAAATGTCAACGAGCGTGCCACGCAGTCATCTTACCTTCAATACGGAGACTGGTTCAACCGCTATCCACACGGTCTTTCTGACTCTGAATTTATGGATCCCGCTACTCATAAACGAAAGGATCTAGGGGCAGACGGCGTCCTCGAAGCAAAGCCTGAGTTGCAATCAGTAGAGGAATACTTCTCTACGCTCCCAACGCCACAAAGCATCGAGAACAAGGATAGTAATCGAGCAGCAGCGCCGAAGCGAAAGCAAGGAAACAAGAAACAAACGGGTATGTCAGTACAGCCTGGTCAGTCTCTCGATCCTATGCAGGGTTCGGACACCGATGCGGTCTCTGTAGGAGGCCAAGAACGCCGATTTTCGGGTGCTCTAGGACTGCAAACTACCGGTACGGCCGGCTTCAACCCCCTCGCTGTGTCCAACCCGCAAAACTCAGCCTTCAGCACTGCAATGTCACCTATGAGCCCCGCCAACATGACCGCCTTTTCTCATCACGGGCACACACCGACCTTCTTCCCGCCCGAATTACTGGCTATGAACTTTGGCTCGGGCTCAAATGGCAACATTGACCCTCTTGATCGTCAACTTGTTTTTGGTGGATATTCGGTGGATGTTGGTACCGGTCTAGGCAGTGGTCACGATATGATGACTGGTATGAGCTGGGATGCAGTTGCCCCAAGTACTCAACCAGAGGAAGACTTGCAAGGCCGGCGATCTAATATCAAAGCAGGCATGAATGGCACAGGAGCTGGCATGGCCGATGGAGCAGGACTATCTGGACCTGAAGCATCATCTGCCTGGTTCATGCCATTCAACATGGAGCCCCCGGAGATGGGCCAGGATCCTGGCTTCAACATGGGCGGTATCGATCCATTCACCGGCGTCTTTGGCACAGGAGGAAGTGGTTTGCCAACGCCAAATGCAATGGGCGGGCTACAGCAACAGGGTCCTTAGGAAGGACTGTCTGGCAGATTAGCACATGCGACACGATGTTCTCAAAGATCTTACCAACCAAGGATAAAGGTTGAAAAATATTGATCCATGGCTAGGATGAAAGGAATTCACTACAAGTAGAATATAGTTTGGTCTGGCGTTACGAACCACGAGTGGTACGGGTTATGGAGGGGGTTGTTTTACTAGGTATCTTGTGTCTTTACCGTTTCTGCGTTATCTCGGGAGAACTACACTAGAGTTTGGGTTGGACATTGGCGAAGAGGCATATTGAAGTTCAAAGCGAACATTGTTGGGCATGTCGTCTTACCATTAGGAAGGGAATTTGTGTTTTTTTTTATTTAGCATTCGAGATACCATCATACCCGTCATGTTCATTCAGATATGAGCTGACACTCGTTTATCAAGAGATGATATAATTCAGATTAAAAATTCGAGCTTTATTTGCATCAGACCAGCTTAAACATAAATGATCGTGCTTTTTGTGATGTAACTGATCTTTCTATAAAGAAACCATACCTTGATATACAACATGGAACGCCTGGTCTTTTACTACTATGCTAGCGCAGTGGTATCTCACTCAAAATGTCCACAAGAAAACTCTTACTCTTCCGCTGCCACGGCGGCTGAAGCATTCTTCTTGCCCTTGGACCTCTTTCGCTTCTTCTTTCTCTCGCCCACATCACCAACCACGTTGTCCTCTTGGTCGCCATCCTTCTTTTGCTTCTTCTGTCTGTCGCCCTTGGACTGAATGATGGTGCCGCTACCATCATCATTGGCAGAGACCAAACGCTCGAATCCATAAGTGGGACCCTCGCGCTCGAACTCTCTGCCAAAGATGTCGCGGCGCCATTGTCGTAGACGAGCCTTCTTTCCAAGACGCTTCTTGTCTTTGCGCTTCTTCTCTTGGTCGCGGAAGGTGGCGAACTTCTTGAGGCCAGCGTAATCGTTGAGGGCGGCGTCAGAGGGAGCGAGGAGGATATCCCGAGCGGTCATACCAAATGACTGGGGTGAAGTTTCGCGGTAGCGGAAAGGAGCGTGTGTGGGCTTCTTGAGAAGAGCATGGTTGGAGAGTTCGAGTTTGGACTCGACGAGAGCCTCGAGCTTGCTACGCTCCTGGCGAGCCTGCTTCTGAGACTCCTTGCGGGCCTTCTTGTGGTCTGTCTTGCGCTTCTTGGAGGCTCGGCCATCTTCGTCTTCGTCTTCTTCTTCTTCATCATCCTCTTCGGCGGCAGCATCCTCCTCAAGGTCGCTGAGGGAAACCTTTGGCTTTTCTTCTTCTTCATCCTCAAAGTCTGGGATAATGTCCTTGATGTCGATATCGTCATCCCACTTGGGCTTCTTTACCTTTGACTTCTTTCTGCTCTCCTCCTCTTGATCCGATGCCATAGCATCATCTTGCTGAGCATAGTAATCGTCACCGAATCGCTTCTTCATCTCATCCTCCCACTTATCGTCCTCCCATGCCTCGTCAAGGAACTGAATCCACTCCTCATCAGTAAGATTCTTGCCTGCGTTGCCAGCTGTTCGCTTGATCTTGCGCAGCTTCTCCTGAGCTTCATCGAGTTTGAGCTTCTTGAGGCGGGCCTTCTCCTCTCGTCTCTCCTTCTTCTCCGCTTCCTTGCGCTCACGTTCAAGCTCACGCTGACGCTTGCGCCCGGTCTTCTCCTCTCGCCTGACCGACTTGGCAGCGGCAACATCTCGAGCATAAGATCGAAGGAATTCATTGCTTCGTTCTGGATCCTCGAATCGCAAGTTGTATGCCTGTTCGAACTCATCGGCGCGGTCGTCTTCATCTTCGTCGTCTGACTCAAATACTTTCCAGTTAGAACCATCCGGAGGAACCCAGGCGCGCGCGCTCATGAAATTTGACAAATAAGTCTCAGGGTTCTTGTCGGCGTTGGCAACGTCAACTTCAGTGATAGTCAGGGCTGCTTTTCTAGAGGGATGAACTCCGTTTGAGTCCACCTTTGCTGATGCCTTTTTCTTCATGAAGCCACCATCCTCCTCGTCAGAATCGTCTTCAGCGGCGGCGTGCATCTCAGCCACGATGGACTTCTTGAGAGCGTCTTGTTCTTGGTTGTAGGACATGGGAACATCACCATCATCATCTTGATCTTCGGCGCCAATATCACCCCGCATGTACTTTTCTCGGTGGTAGTCCTTCAAGTATACTGGCTTTTCCTTCTTTTCCTTATTGGCAGTTGTCGCAGAGGGATCATCAGGCTGATAAAATGTGACCTCCTTGTCATAGACTTTGGGGTCCTTGTTTCGGATGGCTTGGAGAGTAGCAGAGATTTGGGCGTCGAGATCCTCTGTAGCGAGGAAACCATCCTCATCTTCCTCTTCGTCGGATGAGGACGACTCGCCATCGTCGCTTTCGGGCTGCTTTCCAGTCTTCTTGAACTTCTCCTCCAATCTTTGTCGTTCCTCTCTTTTCTTGTTGTGCTCGAAACGACGCGCAAAGTCTTCGTTCACCTTGAAGTCTGACGCAGCAATAGTGGCCCCTCCATCTTCGGATTCGGAGTCGCTATCGTCAAGGAGGTTGCGCTTGGAGTTTTTGGGTTCTTCTGTGGCTTTTGTCATGATGTTTTCGAAAGCCCCAAGGGCTTTTGGCTAAGTGGATGGGTGTTTTGTCGCGCAGTGAAAGGGTACACGGGAAAAAAGACAGTATTAAGTGATGGTTATTTTCATCAACAAGACCAAGACCCAATGACAGCTTCCTACACTTTCCTGAACTTTTTTTTTCTGCCAGTTCGAAAATTTGGCGGGGAGCCGGAAAGCGGTCAAATATTGAACCGAGTGATCCACCTTTCCGGGAGTCTGCCAATAAGGAGCCGCTTTTTTCTTAGCAACAGATGAGTCTTGGTCGCTGTAGTGGCAGCTGCATGTGGCTTCGTCATCAGGGAAGCTAGCCAACCAACGTCGCTGAAAATGCTTAAGAAACCGCCTGGATGGAACCCGCCGCTACCGCTACCGACTTCACCTCAACTGTACTGTAACTCTACTTACTTCACTGACGTCGCGTCTTTATCTCCTCCACTCCAGGCAACTTTCAACAAACCTTTCTACTCAACCATCGACATCTCTCCTGCCTGTTAGATCTCTCACTTCTACGTTACGTGTCTGTCCCCGAGGACGACATTGCTATTTCACTTGTCTATCCAGGCCTTGACAACCCAATCCATCAGTCAACTCATCTCCGAGCGATCCCGCGACAATGGCCGATTCTACCAACGCCCCCAAGCCAAGCAGTAGCGTCAAGCTGGTGCTTCTTGGTGAAGCTGCTGTCGGAAAGGTACGATAGTTGCGACCACTTGTTGCGAAACGACTCATCAACATACTAATTGAGCTGCGGTAGTCATCTCTCGTATTGCGCTTCGTTAACAATGACTTCCAAGAAAACAAGGAGCCCACTATTGGTGGTATGTATCTTCTTTTTATCTCCCTGTATGCCAATACTAACGAGTGCATCAATAGCTGCCTTCTTGACTCAGAAATGCAATCTCCCAACAAGGACCATCAAATTTGAGATCTGGGATACTGCTGGTCAAGAACGTTTTGCCTCGCTGGCTCCTATGTATTATCGAAACGCCCAGGCCGCCCTCGTCGTCTACGATCTCACCAAACCCACATCCCTCATCAAAGCCAAGCACTGGGTTGCTGAGCTGCAACGACAAGCTTCTCCCGGTATCGTTATCGCACTGGTAGGTAACAAGCTGGATCTTACAGGCGACTCATCCAGTGCCGCAGGTGCGGATGGAGAGGAGGGCGACGACTCTGGCGATGCCCGCAAAGTTCCCACGGAAGAGGCTCAGGCATATGCGGAGGAGGAGAGCTTACTGTTCTTCGAGACCAGTGCCAAGAGTGGACATAATGTTACCGAGGTATTCACTGCCATCGCAAACGCTATACCCGAGACGTCGTTGAAGAGCGCGAGGGGAGCTGGTGCATCAAATGCTGCCAGCCGGGGAAGCGAGGAGCAAAGAGTGAATCTTGGAGGCCCCAAGGACGCCGGCGCCAAGGATAGTTGCGCTTGCTAGACAAATTTGAATGGAGAACTGTTGGTCAGAGGATGAAGCGGGAGGTACAGATGACGAATCCTTTTCGTATTGTACGTAATTCTGCCCTTTTCCTGCGAGTCACTTGCTTGGGAATGATGCTGGAGAGAGCATCTGGGAGTTGATTTTGTGTTTTTCTTGTTAGCACCTAGCAATGTTTTGATGCGGCTCGAATGGACACTTGGTGGTCACGTTTCTAGCTCTTATGATTACAACACTGTTTGACTACTCGTGAAGATGTGCACATGCAGTTGGATGAGGGAGACAGCTGGGCAAGTGATTAGGTGACATGTGTAGCTTTCCGAATCATAACTACGTACCTAGCAATCAATGTTATATATCAGTACCTAGGTACTTTGTGCCTGTTATTAAAGCCCCAGGCTTAATGAGATGCTTCAACATTTTACGCCATGCGATCGCGTCTATACGCCACGTGACATTACATGATTTTTTTATCGATTATTGGATGGAACAAGCAAAAGATACTTTGAGGCTTTCACTCTAGACCCACTCCTTTTTCTCGCGAATTTGAACCTCATCACTGCCCTGTTAGCCAGTTGGTTGCTGTTAGTGTTTGCGTCAGAAGCAAAGTGAAGCAAACGGACTTGGCTCTTGTCTTTATTATACTCAATTGTTTCTTTCTTATACTTTTTCTAAGTTTGGTTTGAATGAACAGCGCCTGCATCAATACTTTATTACTTCAAAAATTCTTTAATTAATTCTTTTTCGCGCTCACGTGTCGCCGATTAAAAGCAGACTCACTGTGTCTCTGTTGCACCAGGCACCACCAAAAAAGATCGGCCCTGCTGCGTACATCTTCCTCCTCAACCTCCGTCTCTTCTTTTCTTCCCGCGCACAACCTTCCCATGACGCTTCCTCGGCTGTCTTAGGCTTTGCCCTCAGCTTTGGAGCTGTTACCAAGATTTCGCAATGGCGTCAACAATCACAGAAGCTCAGGCGGAGCTTATTCGGTATGTTACAGGAACCTGATCGGTCGCGCCAGCAGCCAAGCTAATAACTTCTTTTTTCCAGCTCTCTTGCCCCCGACGATATTCCCATCAAGCTGCGATGCGCGATCTGTAGTAAACTCGCGGTCAACGCTTACCGTCTTCCCTGCTGCGAGCAGGCAATCTGTGAATCATGTACGCGATCTGCCTCTCGAAAGCTTTTCAACGAAAGAATGTTACTAACTACGACAAGGCCAGTCCAATCTACCCGCATCGTGCCCTGTTTGCGAACACTCGCCCTTGTCCGCCGAAGACTGCAATCCCAACAAATCACTGCGAACTACCATAAGAGTATTCTTGCGCACTGCGGAAAAGAAGCGCGAAGCGAGTCGGCCGAAGGAAGACAAAAATTCAGAGCCCGCAACACCTGTCGAAGCACCGAAACAGAATCTTCCAGATACAGAAATGTCTGCGGTCGAGACAGCTCTAGAACATAATTCGGGAGTAGACGCGCCATCGAATCAAATTGACAGGGCCGAAAACATTAAGAGTACTCCTGCCCAACCCGCCAACCAGGTACATCTAAATTATTGATCATGTCTTTAAGGTTCTACATCTAACAACTCGCAGGACATCAGCTCTCATGACAATACCCCTACCACTAAGGCTCCCGGGCATGACGAAGCAGGCGACATTCAAAATGTGCCTGCTGAAGGCAGTGTAGAGGAGGTCGGCGTTCAAAACCCCGACGAGCAGACTCTAACAAAGCAGGATGTCACCGGAGAACCGAACGGCGAAGACGAAGGCGATGAGAACCAACAAGGAGGAGATGGCGAGGATGAGGAAGATCAAGAGAAGCCCGAGTCCGAATCCACAAACGGCAACTTCCCTAATAGCAGCTTCTCTGGCTCTGGTGATTTCAACCAGATGCAGATGATGATGGCTATGCAAAACGGTATGGCGCCGAACTCTTTCGGCAGCTTCCCCATGATGGGTAAGTCATAATATCAAGTCAACTGGCCACATGAAAATGATGCTAATTCTATACAAGGTATGCCGGGCATGGGCATGGATCCGATGACGATGCAGAACCTGTACATGAACGGAGGCTTTCAAGGCATGGGCATGAACGGCATGGGTGGCTTTGGGGGTGGATTTGGCCAAGGCTCCAATAATAACTGGAACGGTTCTCAGTCGTGGAATTTCGACCAGAATAATTACAATCAAAATGGTCCTGGCATGGGAACAGGTGATTTCGGGGGCTTTAACTCAGGATTCCAGACAGGATACAATCAAGGTAATTATGGTCAATTCAATGACTATCGTCGCAACAATTTCGGACGTGGTCGAGGCCGAGGCCGTGGTTACTATGGAGGTTACGGCCGTGGAGGTTACCAATTCGGAGGTAACGCCCACTACCAGGATCAAGCTCAGTTCCCTCAGCACGGGTCCGGTCAGAATGGCCAGAACAGCATTGATGCGGATGGCCAGCAAGTGGATGAGAATGGTCAGCCAATTCAAAAGGACGGCACTGAAGGAGCTGATGAGACGAGGACTTCGAATACAGGACAAGCCGATGGATCCAGTGAGGCCACAGGAAATGAGGTTTCTGGCGATGTTTCCTCCATTACACCTGACATGGGACCTGGTACTTTTGCTGTTCGTCCAGTTCCGGTTCCAGATGTTCCGCTGAATGCGCCAACTGGCCCCAAGGCTATGAGGCAAGGTCTCCCTAACACAAGTCTTCATCATCTTCGAGCTCGTGGTTACCAGGTTGGAAGTGAAGTTCCGCTCGGCAAGTCGACCCCTTCAGCAAGAGACAGCCCAGCCGAACGAGGCCGATCCAGGAGTAACTCTTTAGCCCCTAGCCGTGCTGGTACTGATGCTCGCGAGAAAGATAAGGACCAAGAGTCTCAACGTGAGCATAGCAAAGATCAGTCTCACGATCATGACAAGCACGATAGAGAACGTGATGACCACGGCCAAAATCAAAACCATACGGGATCTGCATCTCGTACCGTCAGCAGGAGTCGTAGTCGGAGCAGAGGGCATAAAAGCTCTCGTCGACGTAGACGTTACCGCTCGGAGTCCGTCGAGGATGATGGCTACGATGACGATTCCCGGCGCAAGAAGCACCGAAGCCGACGCCATCACCACGATGACGAAGAGTCCTCCCGTTCCAAGGATAAGGACAAGGATAGGGACGACAGATATGCTGGTCGAAACCGCTCCACTTCGCCAGCAGAGTCCAAACGATCCAGCCACCGCAGCCGCCGTGATAGAGACTCTGACAAGCGGAAGGATCGAGAAAAGGACAAAGATGACCATCGTAGTGATGATCGTAAGAAATCCGGGCATCGCTCCTCGCATCGAGATAGGGACTATGATCGCGAGCGACGTCGGGACAAGGACAGAGATCGCAGCGACAAAGACCGCAAGGACCGCAAAGATCGACATCGGGATAGAGACCGACGTGATCGCGACCGAGACCGGGAGAAGGACAGAGATCGTGAGAGTCATCGGGACCGTGACAGAGAGCGTGACTCAAAATACAGCAGCAGGCATCAATCGACCGACGCTGGGACTGCTTCCAACGACAAGGATCCCAAGCCTCCTTCTGGCCCTCGCAATAACGACACGAAGGCCAACTCTGTGAGTCGAACCGAAAGTTCAGGCAAGGATCCTCACACTCTCGAACGTGAAGCTCGCGATCGCGAACGTCTACTCAAAGAAGCGCAACGCATCGCAGGCATGACAGGTTGGAAGCGTAACCGTGGTGACGATGGCGGTGATACGGGCTCACGCAAAGGACGCCGGACCGGATCCTCAACGTCAGCTCGTCGAAGTGAGGTCATCAACGGCGGCGATGAGGAGGAGAGAATGCGAAGGCTCGAGGCAGAGAGAGAAGGCGATCGATGGAGTTAGAAACCCAAGCGATCCCTGAGGAAACCCACCAAAGTACGGAGAAGATGAAGGCACGCTCTGTTCTTCCTCCCTGTTTCCACATCTCCCCTTATACTTTACCGCTGTTTTCGTCACTTTGCGAAATGGGCGTAAGTTTTCTTTTTTATTACTATCAGGTGTTGGCGGTTATGCATACCATATGGTACCATGTACGAGTAACAAAAAAACCAAGGGAAAAGGCGGCTGCATTCAAAATGCTGGGTATACATATAAAATTATTCATTGGGGTGCTGCAACATGGAACGAGGTAGAAAAAAACATGCATTTCAGATAACATGCAGGCTGGCTTTTACTTTTCTGTAGGCATTGTGTGCAATGTCTTTAATTAAGTCTTTAATGAGAAAAACGAAAGGGAAAAAAAAGAACACCAGGCATTTCAATGACTCTTTGCTGTGACTCGATTGTTGTGATATGTATGACATGTATAAATATACGAGGGAATATGATGTTCAAAAATGTTTATATTTCTAGCCGTTGAAAGCAGCTTTCAATTGCTATATCCATTTCCTCCTCTTCCTTCTCTGCAGTCCTTCTAACCCTTGATGGGTAAAAAACTCCTTCCTCTGTCATTTTCCTTTTAATTTGTGATCCATCAGTTATCATATAAAAACTCGCATCGAAGTATGTCGGCGTTTCAGCCATTTCTATCGTCCGCAACGCCATCTCATATGCTCCCGAATTATCCCAATGCAACACCTAGTTCTTTGTTGATGTTTTCATTATGTGTTGAAACCTGTCGATGCCTGCCTGTCGAGTCTTGATCGTGCCGAGTTTGTCTAGTATATACCTTGAGTGCGATATTGGAAAGTGTCATAACTACAGGAATGTCAGTAAGGCGTAAATAATGTGAATGTGCGGTTACTTACAGTCGAGTGTAGTAGCTACCGAACGACTTCGCGACGAGATCATCCACAAAATGTTCTGCTTCCTCCGCGCTCAGATGGAGTTGGAACCTCTGCCGGAGAGTGCTTGTAACTTGAGCAATACCAACCGCGAAACAAGGCATGCTAGAGTCATGTCCCATCATTGTTACCAAGTCAATGATGTTATCTGCCGAGCGACGTAAAGCTACAATTTATGTTAATCATCTTTCCCTGTGAAAAACCATTGAGAGGACTAACCTTGGAAAGCTTGCTTGCAGAGTCTCTTGTAATCTTCAAAATCGGAAGACATGGGTCCACCCAAAACATCGACATATTCGTGCGTGAGTTTGAAAGGAGCAGCTTCAAAGCCAACAGAGCCAGGCGAGTTGGAAAGCATAAAGCCAAAGTCAATATGAATAATGTGGCCCTCGCTGTCTACCAAGACATTACCGTTGTGCCGATCCTTGAGCTGCAACACGTAGGAGATTATGCTGTATGCCGCCAAAGACTTCTTGAATGCGTCAACTCCGGCACGGAAATCTTTGCTGTCTGGTTTGCCAAAAGCTTTCAGGAAGTGATCTCTCAAGGTCGCGATACGATTGCGAGGATTCTGGCCAGACTCGACGGAAGCGAGAGTAAGACTTCGCTTTAGGGAGTGGAGAGACACGCCGCTCGTAATGGTTTCAATGAGACCTGATGACTCGCCTGTAACCAGTATTCGCATGCGCTTCACCCAGACATCGGTGCCAGCATCAACCCAAATCTTGTGACATACGTCGATAAGCTGGCAAGCGAACGCTTCTTGTCGAAGATCCGCTCCTGTCTTGACAATGACACTCACTAAATCCCAGTTTTTCATCCAACCATAAGGTGAGGATTTGCGGATTCGTTCCTTCTTGGCCTCCCAAGCCTCACCAAAGACGGCCGCACTAGGGTCGTCGCGATCACCACGACGTTGCACACCACCAGTCTTGATATCGTTTTCCATTCGTTCGCGGCCCGCACTGGCATTGAGGTTGGGGTCGATTTGAGCATCTTCCTCCAAATCAGGATTGTTTACAGGGATCGGAGTTGTGCTGGCTTTGGCGATGATAGTGTCGAAGGTTGGACCCTGTTCATCGACGTCGAAGCTCTTTTCCTCAAGACTCTGCATACTAGCGATGATCTTAGCTCTAATAGCAGCCACCTCCTGTTTAGGGCGCTTCCCGCTAGTAGCCTCAAGTTGTGCAAGCATTTGAGAAGCCGTTCGCATGTGTGTAGCTAGAGCAGAGAAATCAGGCTGGTCGGCTGGCGTGCTTCGCTGTATTGGCAGGGTCATCCTTCGCGAAATGGGTCCCGGGCTGTTGGATCGGGATGTTCCTGTACCGGATGATCGTGGCGTCGTCAAGTCCAATGTCGAAGTGGATGGTGTAATCCCGATGGGAAGACGCTGAGCATTCTGACTTTGTGCAGGCTGTGTAGTAGCCCTGACTGGTGACTCGTCGATACCTTTGAGCAATGGTGAGCTTCCCAAGTCGCCGGAAGCAGGCTCAAAAACACTATCTAGTGCGGGTTCTGGAGTTTTGACTGTAGGCGAGAGGCGAGGCGAGTCAGAGAGATCGAATATTCGCTTCGCTCGAGATGTGCCTCCAAGAAGAGTGTTCAGAAGCCGGTGATTTTCAGGCGTATCGGGGTCAAAGGAGAAATCGTCCCTCAAAACCTCCACCATGATCAGATAGGGGACCTTTTCTGCACTGTTTAGCACTGTCGCCTCTGCGGGGTTCACGCGTACGATGCGATGGTGACGGCTCTTTCCAGGTGATCCATTAACCAGCGTCGGAGGGCAAATAACCGGAATATCAACCTCGGCTGGCAAGTCCTGTGATATTAAAGCCAGCTCTGCGCGAAGGGCGCTCATTCGAGCAGGCTTAGGAACCAGCACCAATCGATTTGAGATACCCTCCAAGGCTGTCAAGAATTGTGTTTGCGACCTGAAATAATGCTGCCTCAGAAGCCTCGTCTTTTGTACGGGGGACAGGTCATTTACAGCAAGAATCGCTTTGGCATGATGCGAGTGCCTCCTGTTGGGATTGTCGATCGGACGTTGCGTAGGATCTGCTGAAACTGGCGTCGTCGGTCTCGTCGGAGGCCGGGCAGACGGAAGTGGGAGAGAAGATGTGCTAAGCTTGGCTCCTTCCAACGATCTCAGCTCAAGGGCAGACGGTCGAGTCGTGTTAGCCGGCGTCCTTGATCTTTGGGGTGGGATGATCACTGGCGGCGGTTGGGGACTACGGGCAGGCTTGGGAGAAGAGTCCCTAGATCCTTTGGGGTCCGGCGCACTGAAGGTACGAGTACTCTCTCGAGCGCGCCTTGAGCGTGAATTCCCTGCTGTAACCGTACGTGCCCTCGAGGGCTTAGTGTTCTCCTTGGGTTCCTGCGTGTCATTAGTGACGGGCTGTGGCTTGCGGGCCTGGGCAACTGCGAGAGGACCAGCCCACTGCGGAAACATTGGCAGTGCAACACTAGCAAGCACGAAGCTAGAGAGGACCGTAACGGGCAGAACATTCTCGGTTATCTTCTCGTGTCGAGCGGTATCCGCCAGCCCAAAGACAATATGCTGGACCTTGTTATATACACGGCGACATGTTTGAAACGAGTCAGATGACGGATTGGACGATAAATCGTGGAGATATGTCTGAAACAACCAGAAAGTCTGCGCATACAATTGTCAGTATTCTGCCACCGTACAGTCCATGACGTGGTGGTTCTCGCATTCCATGTCAAAGGCTAAGTTGAGCATAGTTACACGTACCAGCAGCGCAGCTGTGACGGATTCCTCGCACAAGTCCATCAAAAACTCCTCCAATGCCATTGACTCATTGTGCACGCTGATTATAAGGTGGCATAGCTGTGGTAAGAAGAACTCGATGTCCTCGTAGGGAAACTGGCGCAGCTTCTGGCAGAGAACATAGTGAATCCCCACGTGGTCGGCGTAGCGGCTGTTGCGACAGGTGGCATTAGCGATTGGCGAAGTCGGAGACGGCGGATGAAGCGAGATGGTCAAGTAGGGGACGTGGCCAGTATCAACACTCGGTAGAGGGCGTGCAGGGGGTTGTAAGAAACTCACGAGAGGTAGGAGACGGGGAGAAAGGGGTTGGAGTTGAAGACGTCGGACTCAAGGAACCTCTGAAGCAGGTCCCACGACATTGGTTTACGCGGGGGAGCAAGCGCCTGTAATGGACAGCTGGCGGTTCGTCATCTAGGGTTTGTACAATAATTGAAAAGAACGGAAGGGATGCTCCTATAATATGTGATTAGGAGAGCTAAAGGTTGGCGCTGCAGCGAGAGGACGAAATCAAGAGGCCATTCATGTGACAAAGTTGGTTGATGTTGACGAAACCGTCCCAGTCTGCCTTCTTTAGTGGGAGGATTTACAGGAGTCGCAGCGGGTAAGGTAGACTAAAGGCGTCCATCCGTCTTAGAATAATAGTGGATAATTTCAAAGGACGGCGGTATCGCTGAGGACCAAGGGTGGGAATAATACTATCTAGCTGGCCACTTGGCTTTAGGTGATTCAAGCTAAGAGCTCACCTCTGAGAAATAAAGGAAACCCTCCTGGTAGTCCAATGAGACAGCTTGCTGCACCCCTGAGGCCGAGCCAAGCCTGGGGGCACTAGACTGGAATACTGTCCTGGAATTGGACTTGAGACCGCATGGGCATATTATGCATGGACCCTTTTGGCGACTCGGAGGGCCATATCCTTCTCCATATTTTCTTCATAGAGATTGTCTCATTAACCAGTTTTTAAAGTACAAAAGTAGCATGTCCTGCACATATAATTATATCAATTCTTACATGCCCTCAATCTACAAGTTTATTGCATAATTAAATTCCCTGTTATAGTTTGCTGCTCAATTGGAGGTTCGTTGCTGACGTCAGTTACCCTACGTCAGTGGTTTATGGTACTCCAGGGTAACAACAGGTAAAATCAACCCAAGACAAAAAAGGACGGAATTGAAGAGGACCGATCACAGAGAGTAGAACGAGAATAAGGTTCGGGTTTATCGCATAATGACTTTTAGCCACAAAGTGAGGGACGAAGTCACATTAGCCTTTAATAAATCACATAGACTTACTTGACAACCCTCCAAACCTTGCTCCATATGACTATTCATAAACCATCATTCTTTTATCAAGTACAAGCGATTAATGGACAAGGGAGTATAATGATATTCCGAGAAATTCTATATGGCTGCTTGAACTGGAGATGATTCCGCGAAACACCAGTAACAATCATATCCATCCCATAAACGTATAATGATACGCAAGCTTCAAATAACATGACAAAAGCTATGGGACGAACTGTCTTCCGTAGCGCCAAACACCGGCTCGATGCGAGTCCTCCCGAACGCCAACCACTTGATCATTATTTCTCATGACACGTCCCAAAAAACAAGAACAACAACAAAATGCTTACACAACAATCCTTCACATAGGGCCAAAGCACAACCCTCTATGTCGCTTTCTTCTTTCGACCACCGCGTGTTCTCTTTTTGGGTTCCTCAATTTCCTCATCGCTTGAGCTCTCCTGCTTAGCTTTGGACCTGCTGCCCTCCTTCTCGTTCTCAACGCGACTAACAATTTCACGTAAGAAATCCCATTGTTCATCTGTCTCAACAACTTGCTTGAGCATTGATGCAGTAACTCTCTTCGAGCCCTTATCCTTTGCTACGTCGGCGCTCTTCGTCACGAGTTGAATCATGAAAAGCTCGAGAGCTTTGCCCACGGCAATCGGGGTTTGCTGCGCAACTTTGCCAACTTCCTCGTCAGCCTGCATAATTCGCTTGATTCTGGCTGTGGGGAATTTGGTTCGGACGGGAGATGGGTCGATTGCAGGCGCCGCAGGGGGCGCGGCTTTGCGCGGAGGCATATTGTTATCGAACGGTGAAGCGCCAAACGTAGAAGTTCGTTCCAGATCACCAGCTGCGGTCAGCAGTGGGAAGGGCGTGTCGTATGTGGTCGCGTTGTGGTTGGAAGTTTGCTCTGGGTATGCTTGGCCGAGCGAGGCGTGTCGCGCTTGAGGCTGTTGTAGATGTGAATGCGAATAGGCAGGATCACACTCGTAGTCGTAACCGGAAAGTCTTCTTTGGTCCGGTGTAGAGTAGATATAGTGCTCTGGGATAGAAGAATGTCGCGATGGGTAGGGCTGATATTCCGGTCTTGAAGTTCTTGGTTGCGCAGAACGTTCTTGGTAGTCTAACTCTAAATGATGGTACGTGGAATCGGCTGAGATACGACTGGTATTGTTGAAGTGAGGAGAAGGGGGAACGTAGGAAGAAAAAGAAACAGATCTGGCGTAGGTTGGGGACTCTGCTTTATATTCGTATCCCGGCCTAAAGTGACTGTCGGTTTGTGGATGATGTACTTCTTCCTGAGTGGGACCGTTTGAGTAAAAAGAGGAGAGGTCCGGAGACTTGGGGGCATAACTGTCGTCGGCAGACATAATAAATTTTTTTGTCTGGGTCTTTCTCCTGCGGAGCGATTGGGTTTATGGTGGGGCTTTACACACCGAAGCGGCCGGGCTAAAATTATTAAAGTCCACCAGGAAGCCAGTTAATGAACGAAATCCTCTTTGTGGATATACGGCTATTGTACACGAGCCGATCAACGTCGATAATAAAGAGCAGCGCTGTATGCTGCGGATGACAAGGTGCCTGGCGGCACAGACAAAAGAACAGCGGGGTGATGCGAGTCTGCGTCACAGAACAAGGTGCTGTAAGCACGAAGCTGTATGTGATTTGCTTTTCACCGTTGGACTTGTGTTTTTGGAATTTCCTTTTGTGATCAAAAGAAAGACACACAACAAAATAGTAGGTAGCTGAAAACCAGATCACTAACAGTCAATGACTTGCTTGTTCGATGGGCCGGGTTGAGTCTTTGTATTGGCTGTTGTGCTCTGTTTGGTTATTCAACCAAAAGCGCGACCATCCGAGTATAGTACTGAGATATATGTGATGGGAACCTAGAGCCTGGGACAAGGAGTCAAGAGACAAAGCGATAGCTGAAAGGGAACTCTCTGGGCTAATATATCATACGAACAACAACCCCAAACACTGACTAGTTTGCCAGGAAGGCTAGATGCTGCAGCTGAACGGGTGCCGATAAGAGCCGTGCGTAATGGACAGGGGAAATAAGGAGTTTGGTTCACGAATCAGAAAGCTTGGGTTCCCGTCCCTTGACAGGGTTTGGGAATGACGATGTGCTCTAATTTGACGCGATGGTCGACAATGCAGTGTGGCCGTCCTGACGGGTAAGGTAAGACTTAGAGACGCAGACGAGGAAGAAACGACAAATTGCTGCCTTTTCAACTGTTGCAAAGCGGTTGGTTGCAGCGCAGTAGGAGGGGACGGGCTACTAGTCTATGTAAGACAACCCCTTGCAACCAAGATGACAGCAATTGGATCTGCTCTGTCAACACTCTTGGTGGAGGCAGTAGTAAGCGGGTTGAAACAAGGTTCGGAAGGCAACAATGCGCGTGTAAGCCGGGTGATCAAGAAGAATATTTTGAGCCTCAATCGAACTGGTGGTGTGGATGTTTAAAGCTGGTTGTTAATGATAATGATGATGACGACAACGATGGTGATAATAAAGAGGTCTACTGTGACATGAAGGATGTGTACAGTATGGTAGCCGATAACTCGAGGGCGTTTAATAGACGTGGATATTTGCTTTGGTGGGACTGATCTGTATAAAATATGAGCGTGTAAGTGAGTGCAAGGGATAATGTAATGATACAGTAATGTTGGACCTGAACCTCGGGGTGGAGCAGTGGATCATATAACCAGCCTGGCTGTAGGTTACCCAGTTCCGGTAATAACTGAAGGCGATGGCTGTGGTCATGCGTCGCTATCGCGGAGGTAAGAGGCGTCAGTAATCGGCAATGGTATTCGACAACGCGGCGGCAGATGGCGGGGGAAACGAGGGAATGCCGGCCGTTTATATGTGCAGATGGAGGGCGGAGGGATGTCTCCTGTATTTACGAGACGGATACAGGCTTGTGACTTGACGCCAAACACCAAATCAGAGACGGCGTCGTCTCAAGCTGATCCTCGGGCATGCACATACAATAAGTAACTGTCCGGGCGGGTTCTGTAAGGAACCGCCCATGGACGGGATCTACAGGCTCCCACACTGCGCTACAGTACGCCATGGTAGTATTTATGCAACCTACTCAGCTAGGTACCTGCCCTGTTGCCTTGTAGAGAGGCTGGAATCCAAATGTTTAGACTACCACGTGTGCCCCACACCATAGATGAGCATCATTTTACCAACCTTCGCATGTATGGATAGGAACTTTAGTTCTTCATCAATGATAATTTCATTCTTACAACACTGCGTCTACTTGAACTTGAACTTAGGTTTCCTACCTCACCCAATCCTCAGAACTATGGTGCGGTGCTATATTTCTTAGAGGAAAGTTTCTTGTTTCTGCAGTTGCATCGTCAACCTCAGACATAACATGGCTTGAGCTATCTATGCCTCACATCAGCCGCACAATGCGCCTGCGCGCTGGTGGAGTTCATTCCTTCCATACTCCTCCAAAAGATGCGCGGAAACCTAGCGCTGATTCAGACACTGAAGTAGCTGGCATGGCCTGGATGCCTTCGCAGTCCCAGACGCTTCAGCCTTCCATCCATAGCTCGCGCCAGTATCGACTGAACTATCTACCGTATTATTAACACAACACGCCACCTAGCGATCCATCCTGCAGGCACGCATTCCGTTCTATGCCATGTAAGTTTAAATGTTTTTCTTCTTCTTTTATCAATATTTCTACTCTGTTTCTACACGTGTTTATGATGATACAAGTTGAGCTTTAATCTCTGAGCAGGCCTGGTGAGGACGAAGCCGAGTTTTACACTATGGTTCCTGATTCACCAACTACAGGCCTTGTCTGTGAATTTTTACTTGATCTAATCTGACTGCTACACTTTATCACCGTTCAATGTACCCCACTCAAACATTCGTCTTCTAATCTCCTTGACAGCAGTTCGAAGCCCTTGTAGTCGCCGCTCCTCTGTGCTCGAAAGGAACAGCGAGGCTATTGGCCATGCGTGGATGCCCCCATCAAATTTCTGTCCTTCGGCCTGAACACCAATTTTGGCCTGTCTCTTGAGAAAGTCTTCAGCATCTGGGGCAAAGACCTCTTCTTCCCCAAAGATGATAAAATATCCTCGTTCAGGACTGGCTGCTCTCCAGAGCTTGTCGTCGATGCAATTTCCGGGGGAGGCTGGCTGCTGTTGGATCATGTTTTCACCCGCATACTCTTGTGCATACTTCCACAGAGTACGCTTGTCCAAGAAGTCACTTTTGGAATTATAGTGCAACTTCGACATGAGGGTTATCCATGGCGAGATAAGTGTTGCCATTCGGGGCAAGGGTAGATGTGGTGGATCAAGATCAGTAAGGTTACCTCGGATACCGGAATTGACGCCTTTGTCCTGGCTGCCTGCTTGGGCACCCAATTCGAGCAGCATGCTGAGGATCAATGAGCCACCAGCTGAGTCGCCTGAGACGCAGACCTTGGAGGCGTCCTTGACAACTTCGAGAACATGCTTGTAACCTTCCAGTGCTTCCAGAACCTGTCTTGGGTATACTCGATCGGGCACCAAAGTGTATTCAAGCGCAAATATGGCCGGGTTTTTGAATCCAGCTTCGACCAGGAGGTGATGCCAGGTCATAAGAAACTCGAGATAAAAGTAAGTTGAACCCATCAGGAAACCACCGCCTTGTGACAATTAGTATTACGTAGAGAAGAATTGTACGAGTTCCGCGTCCTACCATGGACATAATAGAGGACAAAATCCGGAGGATGCTCTGGTCGGTGCATAATCCAGGTACCTTTGGTTTGAATAGCTCCCTGTTATCTATTAGTTAAACAGCCAGCTACTAGAAACAAAAGGCATACTTGTCCTATATTATACTCTCGATAGTGCACTGGAGACCTGATGTAGCCATGTCGAAGCATCCGCCACCGAGTGAATGGCAGTGCAACGTATTTGCCAAAGAAGACCCTCCCAACTTTGGCGGGCATGTGAGCAAACGCATATCGTACGCAGCGTATCACGAAATCCTCGAACACTGTGGCCGTCTGTGTAAATGCGAGTTGTCGACTCGGGTGAGTCAAGTAACGATCGGTGACAAATTCATAGGGTAGTTGTATTACTGTGTTTGTCATGTGAGGTGAGTTAACTTGTGACAGACATTCAGCGAGTCTTTACCCACATAGAAATGGCAAAGCCTTGAGGGCCGTGAACAGAGTAAGAAAGAATCCAGCGTTCCATATGAGCTGAGGCGCAAGAAATATGAGAAAAACTCCGCAGTCAACGAGGGTTATAGGGCCGAGGATCATAGTGAGGAAGCCTTTGCCTGGGTCATGGAAGTCCGAGAGAGAATGGCTGGTAGTGTTCAACACATAAGTAAGTGTTTTAATAACAGAAGCGTTTAAGAATTGACCGGGGTAAAATAAAGTAAAAGAATAAATAAAAATGAGTATCCGTAACCAAATCGCTACAGATTGCAGTAGATCTCAAGATCTATCCCTGACGCGTTGAGAGAGACGGGTATCAGATCGATGATGGAGGGGCTGGTGTCGTCTGGTTTAAGTGCTGGGATTTGGAAACCCGCCTAGCCTGACAGATAGTTGTAAACAACAACCCTCCTTACATGTGATGCGATGACTTCAATTATTAAACTTCAATATCCATATTTCCTCTCCTTACCCTAAAGGAAAACTCATCACTTGATTAATGCGAGCGAACGATAATGATATTTCGTCGTCTTGCAACAGCTGACATAATCTGGTTGGGGCCAATTTCTCACCGCATTCAGATCATGGCAATGACAGCGAGTGGGTTTTAAACATCTTCTCCATAAACGGAGCTTAACATCTCAGGATCTACGTCACAGCTACAAAACGAGCTGTCGATACCAACCGCTTGGCATATTCAAAAGAGAAATCCTCAAAGCTCGTTCATATCGACAATTCCCTCATCCAAAATGGGCGAATCCCTTCCAGAAGAAGCGCCTTTCCCGCTGACTGATGTTGATAAATGGGTTCTTTCACAAACGGACGAAGAATTTCACAAGCATGACTGGCAGGAGCTAAAGGAAATTATTGGTAAGTGACTCTAGTTGATCATCTACTCGACGACTACTTTCCGCTGTGAGACTTGCCATTGATACCAGTCAGAGGCGAACAATTTATCAGTCTTGAAGCGCAAGCCTTCTGACCTTCGTCGATACATGGCTTGGACTGCCGAAACAAAAGCAGAGTATGGCTCCATGACAAACTACTTGCTCGCCAACCGCCTACCCAAGGAATGGGGCAACCCGCCTTTCACCCCTGCGTCTTCTGTTCCGTTTGAAGACCCTTCAGACTACCGTGTCCTGATTAATGACTGGCCCTATGGCTTGGATCCTGAGATTCGGCATATTGTCGTATGGTTGCGCACAACTATTCCAACAGATCCCGAGACTGGCGATATGACGCCCGAGAGCAGAGCGCTGGTTCAGTTTTTTGTAAAAAAAACTTTCATTGATGCTCTTGGCCCAGACGGAGAGGATCGAGTGCTGTGGTTCAAAAATTGGGTAGCCCTTCAGAGCGTGCGCGCTCTGGAGCACATTCATGTTTTGGTCCGTAATGCAGACGTCGATACCCTGGAGCGATGGACAGGAGAGCGTCCGAAGCAAATCACTTAGACAGCTAGACCGATCGATGCCTGAGTAGATAGAGAGATAGAAACAATTGACCTAATTAAGCAGCACGGCGCGCTCTTCGATTGCCTGGGGGAGCTGCACCGGCGCCAGCATCACCAGCTCCTTGAAACTCGGCCATCTTCTGCTTTCCCATACCGAGCAGTCCACTTCCGAGGTACAGGCCGTAAGCAGGGAGAACAAGCCATAGGAACCAAGCTTTGTTTCCGAAGAAAGTGACGAGAATCACAGAGGCCCAGGTGACCCAGATAACGTCAAACATGTACTCAGTTAAACCAGGAGAGGACAGATCTTCACCAGCTGTGCGCAGCGCCTTGGTCGTCGGGTCGTACTTTGGTCGGCCGGAAAACTCGAGAACATACTCGCAGATGAGCGCTGGAACAGAAAAGAGACCGTATAGCCAGAGAGATCGAGAACGGAATAGAAAGTGAGCGAGAAGAAAGAGGGCGTTGATGACAAGAGAGCCGACGTGGAGGTTGTTCAGCGCCGCGGCGTTAGATTTGGCGCGATCCTTCTTCGCTTTCTGGGCCATTGTGACTGTTGTATGCTACACGTATAAAGCCGATAGGAGCCTTGCGATGCGGTAGACAAGAGAACGAAAAGCCGTTTGAAATGAAGCTCGAGTGTTGAGTTGGTGAGTAAGTGGAATGACGAAACTGGACGTTGATGACAAGGGATCGCCTTCAATTGCAGTGATCTGATAGGCACCTCCACTTTCCGACTTCGGGTTGGCCTTATCCTGGTGTAAAGCTCGTCCAAGAGCACTAAGTAATGAAATGAGACTTCATATCGAGTAACAGCATGTATGTATACCTACCTAAGTATGTTTACAGTTCTATATCTCCAACTTTTATCACATAAGTACCTGTCAGACATTCAGTTTTGAGTAAAACGGTTCTTGCTATTTCATGCCTACTACCTAAGTTCAAGATCCAAGAAACTGGATACCTACACAATCACGTGCAGATAGGTGGGGTCATAGGCACGATAAGCGATAAGCGCACAACTTTTTGAATTGGGGCTAAATCGTGAACAACTCTTCTACCTACTAACAAAAGGAATCAATCCCTCATCCCTCCCAGGCCGTCATCACGTTACCGTTGCAGTCGCCTTTGCCGAGTCTTGACAGCCTATTCACAATGTCTCACCAGAAGAACGAGAAGGAAGTCGGTGATGCTCCCGTACGTTGATACAATCCCCCGCCTACGACTGCGATTGCGACTATGGCGACGGTGCTAACACCTACATTAGAAGAGCCACCGCATCCGAATTACCCTGACCAGCCGAAAGGTCCAGTCTCTTGAGAAGGTCAGCGCTGAGCTTATTGAGCGAGCTCGCAGCAAGGGCCTCACCATTAAGGGCCCCGTGCGTCTCCCCACCAAGAACCTCAAGATCACCACCCGAAAGACCCCTTGTGGTGAAGGTTCCAAGACTTGGGACTCTTACGAGCTCCGCGTCCACAAGCGCCTCATCGACCTCCACGCCCCCACCGAGGTTGTCAAGTCCGTCATCGTCAACAGTAAGGGATCCCGTTTCGTCAGGGTAGTTGCAGAAAAATTAACAAGTTTACAGTCGAGGCCGGTGTCGAGGTTGAGGTCACCATCGCTGCTTAAATGTGGTCACGGTCCTAATCAGTGGTAAAAAAGCCCGGTGGTGTCCTGGCATTGTGAGGGAAGGGAATGATGGGAACATCAGGATCTTGCCCGCAACAAGAGTGGTGGATATAGGATACTCAGTCATGATTAATGAATATCTGAGAACCGCGTGTTCTACCATTCAAAACTACCATCTGACGTTGCCATTGTGTTGACATTGTATACTGACTTGAACGGACCGTATTGATTCGCAACTTTGAACTACCTACCTAGACAAGACTAATTCAAGGGTAGATGTAGCTATTGGACGATCCCTAATTGTTTAGCATTCATAGTATCAGCGATCATTCTTTTATCAGGAAGGAGGAAACCCTGGACACTGACGTAACAATCGAAAAAAGGGGGCTCTTACCTATGCCTGAGCAAGCACTCTGGGTTCATATCAAGGATACAATATATCTGGATTCCATAAAATACCTTATTTGCACCTATGTCTCTGTTGTAGCACTACGAAACCTCAGTGGCAGATATATTTGAGACCTGTAATTACAGGTACTTATGCTATGGTTAGGGTCAGGAGTCTTTGTAAGTACATATACTTAGAGGCTCGTTGCTAGGCGCAACCCTGAACCAATCACAGCAAAGTATATCCACGATTCTAGGCAGGTACCGCGCGCTTGCCATGGAACCCGTCACTACCAAACATTGAAGCCTGTTTAACGTTCAGATTTGGACCTTCCATCTTCTCTTACCGCATCCTCTTTGAAGCTCAGACCGAGTTTGCAATTCATACCATGTGCAACTCATATCGAAGTCGTATTAGCTGGTAGCAGGGAAATTTGTCTTTCTTCTTCATCCTTTCTATACTTTTGAGCTTCCCCCTTAGTCTCATCTTCATCAACATCCTCGCTCGCTCTGGACCCACCGTTCCCGTCCGTTCACGAAACGTTGCCAGCCATCGATTGACTTTGACGATTCTTTTTGACGACCTCTTGCATGCCCCCTAGGTTGCAACATTAAAATATCGCCTCGAATCGAAGACTTTCCTCGCGTACGCCATCTCTTTTTTTGTTGCATTAATTATTAATTCCTTTGTCGAAGTCGAAAGCGACTGCGACCAGCTAGTGACCGACCCACGGCTGCTTTGTTTTCTTTCGACTCGACTGTCCCCGCTACCCACGCGAACGGCCCATACAGACAACAAATAATTGTTTGGTCAAACAGAAAGACCATTCATTCGGTCGCGAGTTATTCGGTCACTCCCCGCTGAAGCCCATATCTTGTTTTTTATTCATCGACGTCTCATGGCCAGCATACCTCGTTAAGGAGCATCGTCAGCGCCTTCATCTCCCGAACACCCAAACTCCTACACGTCTTGTCGCTGGACAGCAACATCCAGCATGGCTCCTACCCCGACGGCCGTTAATGGCCTCCTAAGACAAGTCATATATTACCATCTTGACAACGCCTCGTACGACAACGCCCTTTTCTTCTCCGAACGCTTGACAGCACAAGACCCAAGGTCCAGCGAGTCTACATACCTCTATGCGCTATGCCATTTGCGTCTTGGCGACTATCGCTCTGCTTACGACGTGAGCAAGCCCATAGGGTATCGAGGCGCTCATTTGGGCTGTGCCTGGGTATTCGCTCAAGCTTGTTTGGCACTCGAACGATACAAGGACGGTCTTTCGGCTTTGGAGAAGGCTCGGAGCCTCTGGGCCTCAAAATGCAGCTTGGGAAAACACAGCGCGACAGCCCGAACGGCTCTTCCTGATGCACCTGCAGTACTGTGCCTCCTAGGAAGATTGCATCGAGGCTACGATGACAAGAAGAAGGCCGTTAGCTGCTATGAGGAGGCTCTCCAGCTCAACCCTTTCATGTGGGATGCTTTCTCAGCTCTATGTGACCTTGGCGTAACGGTTCGCGTACCAACTATCTTCAAAGCCAACGACCCGCTCGTCCATAGTTTTGACGTGGAAACGAATCCATTGATAACAAGGGAAGGATCTGTACCAATCCCTTCCGACCTGCCCACAAAGAAGTCGCAAAGAAATGCCGTGGTGGATGTTGGAAACGATCCGTTTAGCTCAAGTCATAACACTGATAGCATCGAGCTGGCAAATGGTGATTCTAGTCAGGACATCCATAAAAGCGACTTCATGCAAAAGATACAGGAAGGACGTATGCGCGGTACAACATCAACTAATAGTAGCTCTGGCTTCGACGGCATGGAGACGCCTTCAGGCCCATTATCATCATTTACGACGTCATCCCGCCTCGGTCAATCTCACGAGCCTCCGCAAGCACCACCTCGCCGGACACGGCAAGCACAGGCTGTTGACCAAGGACATGAGGCTCCTCCACGAATGAACTATCGGATAGGTTCCCGGCGCACAAGAGCGCAAGAGAAGGGACAACAAGAACAGTCAACAGAAAACATAATGACTGACGCATCTAACGCCGCACCTTCAGCATCGTTGCGACCGTCCATAACAGCAGCGGAAAGGAAACGGACTGTATCAGGACATCCCGCACAGCGAGCGGCAAATTCAGACGAGCCGACGACAACGCGGCGTAGTGCAAGGCTTAATATGTTCCGACCATCATCCAAAGCAAACTCGAGCGCGACCACAATAGGAACGTCGGCTCCCAGGGAATTGAAAAAGGCGAGACCCCCCATCTCTCGAATCGTTCGACCTGGTTCCAGCGGCAACAATGTTGGACGTGTGGTCAGTGGTAATCGAAAGCCTCTTGAAGATGCTCACGTAGAGATTGATCACGGCGAGGTGCAAAAACCCAAAGACGTGCCGCCACCTCCACCTGTCCACAAGACATTGGAGTTGGATGCTCCAAGGCTCGAAGAAGGGCTTAAATGGATACTTGATCTTACAAAGAAGCTCGCGAATGGATACTATTCCCTGTCTCGATTCCAATGCACCGAGAGCCTCCAACATTTCCAATCCCTTCCTGTGTCTCACCAGAACACCCCCTGGGTGCTCGCTCAGATGGGACGGGCTCATTACGAGCAGGCCTCATACGCCGAGGCTGAAAAGTTCTTCCGGAGAATGCGAGTGCAAGCGCCTTCGCGCCTTGAGGATATGGAGGTGTATTCGACGATCTTGTGGCACTTGAGACGTGAGACGGATCTCTCCTTTCTAGCGCATGAACTGGTGGACTCAGCCTGGCTCTCCCCTCAGGCTTGGTGCGCACTTGGCAATGCTTGGTCATTAGCACGCGATCACGAGCAAGCTCTTAAGTGTTTCAAGAGAGCAACCCAACTGGACCCCAAGTTTGCATACGCATTTACCTTGCAGGGACACGAGTATGTTACAAATGAAGAATATGACAAGGCGCAGACGGCATATCGACAAGCGATATCTGCCGACAAACGCCACTACAACGCCTATTATGGTATCGGAAGGGTTCAGGAACGCCTCGGCGCATACGAAAAAGCCTATACGCACTTCCATGCCGCTCAAAGCATCAATCCCAACAATGCAGTCCTGATCACTTGTATTGGAACAGTGTTGGAGAAGCAGAAACAGATAATGCCCGCTCTTCAAGCATACAGTAAAGCAGTAGAGCTTGCCCCTCGCGCCGCCCAAACCCGGTATAAGAAGGCCAGAGCGCTACTTGCTGTTGGCCAGCTCGAACAGGCACAGAAGGAGTTGATGATATTGAAGGACTTGGCACCAGATGAAGCAACGGTCCACTTTCTTCTCGGCAAACTATATAGAAGCATGGGCGAGAAGCAGCTCTCAGTGAGGCACTTTACTATTGCTCTTGCCCTGGATCCCAAGGTAAGCCAGCTAAATGTTTTGTATTTAGATAATCACTAACGTTAATTGTTCACAGGCAAGCCAGCAGATCAAAGAAGCCATTGAGAGCTTCGAGGACGACGTGGAGATGGACGACTCAATGATGTGATGATTGTAATGAACATTGCGATTTTAAAGAGTCTGCACTTGCGTTTGGCAACCTTTGGTTTCGAGATGATGAGCGTAATGAAGTATATGGAACCTGGTTCCAGTGATTGAAAGGCGTGAGTTGAGCTGTTCGATCAAACTACGGTTTGGTGGTGGCATATATGGAATAGGGGTTGGTGACTGGCGCTACTGTTCACTTTGGTACGAGAGCATTGGGCATGGCATTGGCGTTTTCTGGTATCAGCAGGTCCCTTAAGTGACCTGTATTCACGTACGCAAATGGGGTAGTGGCTTCACTCTGTGTATGTGCAACCCGTGCATGGGTGCGGGCTGTAGCACTTGTACGTTATGAAGGCTTGAGGATGAGAGTTAGATAATCGACGAGCTGGCGGATGATACCCTGAAGATAGTCAGAGTAGCAAGACCGAGCCCATGAATGCCTACGAATAATGAGTTCCTACCGCGTTTGCCTGTGAGTCAATGGTCTTTGACTTGAGGGTCCTGTCATGAAGACATTAAACGATAGAACATGCACTTGACAACACAGGAGATACTCTGGTTCATAATAACAATGCAAGATGTTGGCATGGCTGACTTAGATGTCGATGTACTATTCAACGTCAATCATGCCTGTAGGAAACATTGTGAAACGTACCACCATGCCTGACGTACATGAGCTGGATCATTCAATAAAGACACCTACTGATGTCAAAGATCTGATCCATTAGGTTCTGGTCCTTTGTTTAACATAAAGCTAAGGTAGTAATTGCTAGTTGCACGCGACTTTGCGCGTTTGGTAGCTGGATCCACTCTACCACTCCCCGCCTTTGTCATTTCAGTTACTACTGTTCCATTTCTGCAGCTTGGGGCGGGAGTGATCTAAGCATCTGACCAATCAAAAAATTGGACATCAGAGCCACTCATGCGCGCTTCTACAAGCAGTATAGCGTTTGAATTACACGATTTTAGGTGCCCATTTTTCAGTGATTATGCCCGCATTTTACCAGTGATTTTCGGTGCCTGCAAGCGTTGTTTTTTACTGATTGCCTGCACGTATTTATTTCTCTCCTGCTCGCCCCCCCACAGCCTTCAATTTCCCCTTCTACTCTTCTCACTCCGCATCTCAAACGCGTCTTCCAACCAAACGGCATTTAAACATCTCGATAACGCGCCACATTCATCTCTTTTCATCAAATACTTATCTCATCTATCAACATGACTGGACGTAAGTACTTTATCGATTTGATGCACCATCTGCGATGGGCGGTTTTCCACAGACATGCCCAACACGTCGATGTATCGCATTTATCATGAGCTTCATAACAGTCACTAACCATCTCTCAGGCGGCAAGGGCGGCAAGGGCCTCGGCAAGGGTGGTGCTAAGCGTCACCGAAAGATTTTGCGAGACAACATTCAGGGTATCACAAAGCCCGCTATCCGACGTCTCGCTCGTCGTGGTGGTGTCAAGCGTATCTCTGCCAGTAAGTTACCAACTATGCTCTGCTTGTTCATAAGCAAGATGCTAACAAGTTCTTTCAGTGATCTACGAGGAGACCCGCGGTGTTCTCAAGACCTTCCTCGAGGGTGTCATCCGTGATGCTGTCACCTACACTGAGCACGCCAAGCGCAAGACCGTCACTTCTCTCGACGTCGTCTACGCCCTGAAGCGACAGGGCCGTACCCTCTACGGTTTCGGTGGTTAAGCATTTACTTGCACACCGGGTGGCTCTTTTGGCTTTGAGAAGGATTGTACAGTCGCACATTTGCAGATACTGGGATGGATGTATTTGACACGGCGTTGGGGAAACACGGATATGATATTACCATTAGGCGTCATGGAAGACGACCTTGCGAAATGAATACCACATTGAACATTTAACTCCGCTCCCTTGGCTTCTTGCATGCTTATTCGTGATCGCTTGCCATCCCTCTGACCGCTAGTAGAAGCATTCGTATCAAACCACATTTCGATGAAGAAAGCATTCAGTATACTGTTAATTCTTGAAAATGCAAACATATGGTATCATAAGAACACGTAACTCTGTCTAAACTCAAAGATATTTTCTCCCTGCTGCTGCTACCCGCGTCCTGAAGATAGGACTGCGTACCTCCATGTTGGCACGGTAGAAAGGACTCATAATCGCCTTGACCCAATTCTCATACACCTCTGTAAAGAACAACTTGATAGCCTCTTCTGTGGCCTGGCTGGTAGGGTTGGCGCCGATAGCGGTTGATGATCGCGATGATGTGCCAGTCGGGACGATGGGTTGATGAAGGAGGAGGAATTTGACGTTGCCGGCAGTGACGAAGCATGAGATATAATTGTTGAAGAATTTGTCGATACACTTTAGGTACCTAGATAATGTCAAGGCCAGGAAGTCAGCTCTCTGTGAAGCAATGTCGACTTCGATTCGCGATGCAGCAAAGCCCCTTCCCCTACTCTCAAGCACACCCCTTGGGTGCGTTGTGACCACTTACATTTGTCCATGCGACCACTGCACTTCCTCTGCGATATCAAGACTTGAATGTAGGATAAACTGGTTCAAATGACGGACTTGATCACTGAAGCGCGACTGGCCATCGCCGCCCTGTTTCGATGTGCCGAATTCATGTTCAAATAGCGGGTTGTCCTGAGTGCCAACGATGGCAAAGTAATAACTCATGATGTCGCGTGGTGATCAACTGTGTGGCAGGAGATTTGTTCTGTTTTCCTGGAGTATGATGGCAATTTGGGAGTCTGATACATTCGTTAAGATTATGGTTGTCTTTTGCGCCGAGGTGTAGGTTGGGTGTTGAATGGAATGTAAGGTATGGGCTGCTGTAACTCAGCTTCGTAGCTAACCCCCACTGCAGTATGTACCTAGGTACTACATCCCCACTGAACGGCCTACGTTTAGCTGTCCCTGGGGTATCAGAAAAATTGACCGCTGGAAGCATAAGAGACGAAATTAGTAGGTCACTTTAAGCCCCTTTGGCAATAGTTCTAAGACTACTTGTTTTTATACCCTAAGACTTAGTAGGCCATTTTTTCTGCTACCCAGTAGGCTGTCTCGTTATCTTTCGCTTAATGTAGCCAACCATTTCATGGTTCTGCGCTTAATCTCCCCGCGCGGCTGCAACAGCCGCCGTCTGTCGGAAAAAGTTGACGTTCATTCGACAATCACCTAAACCCTCTTCCGACTGTGCCTCCAAATCCGCAACAATCCTCCACGATGTTCGGCGCATTTCGCATCACGAACCCTTTATCTGGTGGCCTTCTCTGGAAGGTCCCATGGAGGCTGTCCAAGTTCCAGAAGCGCCGCCACCGACTTCGTCTCCGAGCCGTCGACGATGTTGTAGCAACCGTTGACGCTGCTCTCGCCAAGAAGGGACAGACTCTCGAGGCCCTTGACCGATGGAAGGCTGAGATGCCTACTGAGGCTGAAATGCTGCCAAAGGATAAATACACCATGTTTGACCGCAAGGCTAAGCGTTACCGCAAGGGTATTCACAGTATGTTCCTCCGTTCAGATCAACTTATTGTTTTCAGACCCATACTGATATTCCAATAGAGCTACCCAAGTGGACAAGAGTATCACAGCGAGTCAACCCCCCTGGTTACTAGAGAATCGATTTCACGAGGTCGAAGAAGCAGGACTACCGGGTCGAAGATCATATGGAGAACGGCGTATTCATCCCACAATGGGAATTACAAGCAGATCCATGTTGGGGTACATGTACAACACCTTTGTTTCAATTACGAATTGCGAGATAATGACAATATTTGCCAAAATACAACACAAAAGCTTTGGCTGCGGTCCTATATGAAAGTGAAGGGATAGATTAAGGATGCGCATTGGAACGGAAGACAAAGGAAAACATGCCACAAAGGCACATAGGTAGTAGGAATTGCAGGTCTTCTCAATTGATGAAGTCTTTCTGTTTTAAATTAAGGGTATCGAGTCCCAAATCTCGCTCCAGGGACAGCCTCTGCTTCTAATGCACCCGACTACTTTCCCTCAGCATACTCGTCTCGTTCCTCGGCCTGTATCGCCCTACCAATTCCTCCTCTGCCCTCGTCAAAGTCCTCGCGGTACTCGTCACGTACTTGACCGCCAGATTTGCCACGACCGTACTGGCGGCCCTCCTCAAAACCAGGGTCCAGATCGGTACGAATGATGCGTTCGTCGAGTTTTGTGCCACCGATGTACTTCAAACAATCAAGAGCGTCCTCGTGTGTGAAATACTCGACGAAGCAGAAACCGCAAGGCGTTTTGTTGAAACGATCGAGGCCCATGACGAGGCGCTTGATTTCGCCGCACTTTGCGAAAAGCTCGTAAACTTGTTCTTCGGTTGTGTAGAAAGACCTTTTGGTGGCACAAAAAGTTAGATTTTGACCATCGTTTCTGAACCTAGACTTGGGGAGACAAACAGGTTGCCAACATAGAGAGTTGTGGCATTGGCCAAAGGATCGACCTGGGGCTCTTGTGGTTGGTTGTTATCGTCATCGCGATCGCGTCTTCGCTTGTTCTAGCATTGTATTAGTAGACGGTTTTGAAGAGCGCGTAGGGGAGATCGTACGCGGTTCTGATAGTAGGCGCTGGGCCTATCAAGGCGCTCTACTGTGCTTCTAACGCCAGGTCGCATTGTGCCTTGTATTGATGGAGCGATCGATGTTTGGTTTTTATGAATCTCAAAGGTCCTTTGTCAAAAGATTGTTCATGCGACAAGTCTGCATATAAATCCTGAAGTGTTGAATGATCGTGATGATAGATGTTGGTGTAGCTCAAGCAGCCTTGCGCCGAGAGAGTGGGCCATATCTACAAATGTGGCGGTGCTAGTGGCTTTGTCTTGTGGTGCTGTGCTGCCGTGGTGACAAGCGCGTACCTGCCCGCCTAAACTTAGCACCTAAAGTTGACCTTCAGCGACGTATTTTGCGCCAGGCCTAGACCTTCAGCCTCGTTTATTTTCTTTGCCATTTCATATCGCGACTTACATTTGCATACACATATATTCTTTAAACCCGTAAACTTTCAGAACTCATACCACAAGCCTTTCAAATTGGAATCAAATACTAGCTAACGAATTTCGGCTTTGGTTACTTACCATGCCCAAGGTCAAGAGCTATTCGGCAGCTTGGCTGTCAGGCAATGCTCCCGGCCACCGTCTCTTTGAGCAATCGTCTGAACCTACCAAGTCTCGTGGGCTGGAGTCAAACTACTCCTCCAAGAAGAAGACTATTCCTGGCCCGCGCAGAACAATTGCTCATCGGGGCACTGAGGTATTTGCCGCTGTTGGTCGTGAAATTCGTTGGGGAGACCTTGCGTACTTGAAGGACGAATGGACGAACCGTCGTTCAAAGAGCAGATCGTCGCAAGGCGTCCGCATCAAGCGTGAAGACTCTACAGAGTCGTTTGACGATGACAATCTAGAAAACACTGCTGGGTTGAGGGTATGTTTGGATATTATGCTTTGCAAACGTATTACTAACTTGGTGTTGCAAGACGATCAAAACACCTGTCGCAGATGACATTCGACAACTTATCATTTCCCCGAACTCGGGCTTTTTGGCCATTCTCACTACACACACCATCCACATCTGCGTTCTACCAGATCCTTCACACCTCACCAGCGGTGACACCAGCCCTCTGAAGCCCAAGATCTTCACCCTTGGACCTACCACTCATGTTACGTCCCGATCACCCATCGCCTCAGCCCTATGGCATCCATTAGGAGTCAATGGTTCATGCATTGTCACGACTACCGCGGATGCTATTGTTCGTGTCTGGGAATTATCAACTACCGATCGATGGTCATTTGACACACCTAGTACGTCTGTCGACCTGAAGAAACTGGTGGATGCCACGAGCCTGGACCAAGATTTCTCTGCCTCGACAACAAATACCAACAAGGCCTTTTCTCCCGATTCGTTCGACATGGAGGTGGCTGCTGCAAGTTTCTCTACTAAAGGAGCGGGTGGCTGGAACTCAATGACTCTGTGGATCGCAATGAGAGAGGGGGATGTTTACGCCTTATGCCCTCTGCTTCCCCAGAAATGGGCACCTCCCCCAACACTGATCCCCTCCCTTTCAGTATCAATCGTCACTACAGTTGCCAGTATTGAAGACGACCCCGAGGTTAGCGAGCAGGACAAGCTGCTCGCTCAGCAACAATTAGAATGGATGGGCGAACTGGATGCTCAAGAGCCAGCAATCGTGGACGGGCCTATTGGAGACCCAATCACAGAAGTTTACACACGGCCGAGCCGTCCCGGTGCTATCCCTCGCCTGCAGGGCCCATTCGAGCTTCAATCGGACCCTGATACTGGTGATGAGCTGGATACTTCGGTCACTGATATGCTTGTGATTGGAAAAAAGACCGAGACTGAAGATCTCATGATGGGTGAGGAAGAGGATTTGGATATAGACGACGGAGATCAGGAGGGCCTGTCTCTCACTGTTGTCTGTTTGCTGTCAACGAGCGGTCAGGTTCGTGTATACCTTGATCTCGAAGGCGTTCAGGCTCAGTGGCTGCCCCCGAAGAACAAAAACAAGCTTGGCCGCCTCCTTGCTGAGGCCGATCCCCCTTCTCTCCTGTCCTTCCAGGCCATTGATACAATGAGCCCCGTAGAAGTCAACGAGGATAGCTGGCCAGTTTTCAGCTTCGACGTCGCATCTCGATACAGCTTTTTTGTCACCCATCATGCTGCTATCACATATGTATCACTCACCTCTTGGATCTTCCGACTTGAGAGTGAGCTGAATTCCGACTCTGAAGCAGGGGCTGATTTCAGAATTGGTCTGCTTGTCAACTCCCAAGCGATAAGGGACCGTATATACTCGCAACCTACCGCCGACATCGCCGTACCCTTGGCTGCGTGCAATGTTTTGCGAGACCCTGATGTCGGCTATTTCCTCCTCTCGGCAACCCCCTACGAGCCCATTGCTCTGACCTTCGATATGCCTGAAACTGATCTTGCGCCAATTCGCCAGGAAAGCCCTACCTATGAACGAGAAGCTAGCATGGTGCCATTGGAGTTTTACGAGCCTCGCCCTGTGTTCAACCCGTCGCATGCGTTTGACGAGGGTTCTGCCTTGCCTACTTTACTGGAGAGGCTCCGCACATCCCGGCACAAGACGATTGTGAACCAGGAAGTGAGACTCAGCCCGCTTACATTGCAAATCTTTACCGATGCGCACAAGGTCTTGGCGGACGAGACGTATCGCCTTGGCGTGGCTGCAGCAGAAGTTTTCCGCAAATGTGAACTGCTTCAGAGCGAACTCAAACAACAAGTTATGAAAGCCAATGAAGTAAAGGGAAGGATCGACACCATTCATGGACTGCACCGCGATGATGAGGCGGACGACGCTATGTATGTTAGGCGCATTGCAACAGCGAAAGATCGCCAGGGCCAGCTCGCAGAACGCTTGGAGAATCTGCGAAAGATCGTGGGCAAATCAACAACACGTGACTTGAGTGCCAAGGAACGTGCTTTTGTGGAGGAAGTTAAGTCGATGGAAGCAAGCATCGCAGCCCCCGATTACGCGGAGTTGGCTGCAGGCAAGGCGGCGCCGTCACCTGCACAGGCGAAGCAATTGTGGAAACGTCTGGAAGACATCAAACACTTGCAGGCGGATCTTGCAGCTGAGGTGGAGGCAATGAGCAAGGGAACAGGGGATACGGACGGGCCCGCTACACCATCGGCGGAGTTACGGATCCCACACGAGGTTCGCAGGGCAAAGATGCAACAAGTCCAAGGATTGCTGTCCAGAGAGACAGCCTTGGTGGAAGCCGTCACTGCGCGACTGGAACGACTCCAATCCGGCTTCTAAAGCCGATATATATGTACGATACCTACGACTCTGTGGAGTATAATAAGACTTGTTCTCGTTTGATTGTACGGTTCCTTCTCTCCATCCCTCGACAGTATTTTCTCTCTCTCTCTCTCTCTTTTTTCCCTTTCTTTTTTTGAGTCTATAGTTTCTTCAAGACAAGTGACATCAAAACCAATCATACTACTATAGGTATTACTAACTTCGAGTGAAGCAACAATAGAGGGGCAACTGGGGTAAAGATCGTCGCGGCAACATCCACGCACACTCATCTTCAGTGTCGGATGACGATGAAGCTAAAATATGTTACAGTTAAAAATGAATCTGTCACCTTACCTCAGCTTCCCTGTCGACCTTACTAGGCTGACAAGCCCCCGGTAGGTATCAGCATGATATTGCTTTGTTGAGTTGTGGCCGATAAGAGTGTGTGATTCTTGTGGTCCAATCATTCCAAAAGCAAGGCGAAGTGTAAAAACAACACTCAGGGTTAATTGACCATTTTCTATTGTGGCTACAAGATACTTGCTCTATGGCATGCTTGCTAATGCTTTATTCTACCTTCTATACTCTACAAATACCGAATGAAAACAAACTCTGAACAGAGAATACTGATTTGTCTCTGTGTGTTTTTCACAAAACAACTTGGAGGCAAACAAGGCAGCGGCCTTAGGGTACGGATGGATGCTTACAATACGATAGAAAGGAAGATCCTTGGTTAATCCACTGGCTGAAATGTTGCTTTAATGCAGCTGCAGGCTGGGTAGTCTATGTTTCATTACACTTAAGTGGCTGACCTGACGGGAATGCAAGTGCATAGTATCCGTACCTGAATCTGACTATTCGTCCCTAGGGGGATAGCATAGCCCTTTGGCTCATCTGCTTCCAGTGTGTCCTTTCTTTGACGACGCGTCTTCCCTTTGAGGTTCTAACAATATGTTTTGGGTACACGATTACGAATTGTCTGTTGCCAAACCGTGCCCAACTTACACAACAGGCTGGGTACGGCGAATGGCACTAGTACATCGTGGGTTTGCGCAACTCTTGCAAAACACAGTATGCCAAGTCTATATCTCGGTTAGGCATGCCTCCTACTCTGGGCAGAGACATGTACATATGCCCGCCTCGCTATTTGCGCTCCGGGATGTGCAATCACACTATCTATGGTGTGGATGATCCGGGAATCTTGGGGACACACCCTACCTCCGCCTCTTGTTATATATACATAAAGGTGTTGCACTTCCTCATTTGCGACAAGGTCGATATTTAACAAATCGTCAGCCTGGTTCAAAATCTTGAACGGCATTTTCTTAACGTCTTTCTTCATCAATGACCCTACTTCGTTCGGCTTGTCAGAATCCAGCACCTCCTACACAGTCAGACATGGCACCCCATCACCTAGATCTGGAGAGTCTCATCTTACGTATGTTCAATTTGTCCCTTTGAATCATCGTTATGGTTTTCCAGTTGACTGAGCTGATGTTCAATAGAGAATTGCCGTGCCTTCGTCGGGAGCTCAGATGCTGAGTTCGATGTTCTAACCCGGATCGACCCAAGTGAACAGTGGTATGCCTTCGTTCTAAAGACAGAAGGTGGAAAGCGTACCAAGATCTTGGAGAACAAGGCATCAAGACCCGAGAGAGCCATCGAATTGCTTCACGAGGCTTCGGCCCGTATGGTTGATCAATATGTAACCTGTCATGGCTATGATCTCCCCCCCAGTACCAGTTCCAAGACCGCAACTGGTATACGTGGTGGCGATCTGGTGAAACCAGATGTTATTGCCTGTGGTTCTTCTGACAGCGAGGCATTTGCGTC